CTAAATTCACAAGTTTCACTTTCATTTAATTTTGAAAGACAAATTATGTGTTTTGATAAATTGAAATCGGATGGGAATGTGAACGTTGAATCCAAGTTTTCAACTTTTTGAAGAAAGTTGAAATTTCCTTTAAAATCAATTGCTTTCGATGAAAAAATTCCCAGCTGTTCTATTTTTGAATCACCAAAAATGAAATCGCAGTCACGACAATACTCGATTTTAACAATTTCACATTTATCAAATGTGTTTGAAAATATAAAATTCTCGATATTGAACAATAACACACTTTTTGTATGGGTGAAATCGATATCTACATATTCCAACAAGGCTCCAAATACAACTTCTTCTGCTTCGACACCAACTTTCTTTTTGAGCGTCGAATTTGAAATCACCAACTTCCCAATTTTAGTGTTTTTCGATATTTCAAATTTTGAAGTATCGTAGACAGACAAAGACTTAATAAAATCTGTTTCCGATGAGATTTTTGAATTTAAAGAATTTATTATTTTGACAGTTAAATTTGTATTTTTTGTATTCAAAAAATTGAATGTAAAATTTGGACACATGTTGAATTCAAAAGTTTCACAACTTTCGCAGTCGATGTTTAAAATGCAGTTAGAACAGTCTGTACATGTAATATTCTTTGCACATTCTTTATTAATAAACAACTCGACATTTCTTACACTGAGAAGTGAAAGTTTTTGTAACGTTTTAAATTGTTCATAGCAAACATCACTAAAATTGACCAGTTTCAACTCTTCGACATTGGCAAATGGAAATTGTTGCTTGTTCTCCCAAATACGTTTTTTATTACATTTTTCAAGTAGTTCAATTCGTTTCTTTTTAACTATTTTGGCGGTTGTCATCTCAACCTTTTTAACGGTGTTAAAACCCTCCGAAAATTGGAAATTAACACCTTCTGAGACAAACTCTTCACTGTTCAAAACATCAGGAAGAATCACAAAGTTGGTTTGTTTATGTTCGACTCCAAATGAGTTTGGTACAAATCCGTTTTTTAGTGAAATCGATTTGACATATTTTGGTATTTGCAAAAGACTCAAATCACAAACGCCACCCATAAAAGTAACTTTTGTTGCAACACTTTTTCCAATGATTTTTTCAACTTTATGCAAATCAGAAATTTGCGTCAAATTTTTTGTTTGAAATGTCAACGAATTGTCTCTGATGAATGGTGTTAAGTAATCTGCATATTCTATACTAATATTGTTTGAATAATTTCGACAATTTTGTGTCAAAGTAATTTTATCCATTGATGACACACTATTTGTCCAATCAATATCAATTTGTGTTGCATATTTCAACGGAAGTTCGTTAATTTTATTAAATGGTATATTAATGGCTCCATTTGTTGTTGTTCCAAATGCATTTGACCCGAATGCATTTGACCCAAAATTCATATCAAAATTGACATAAACGTTTTTAGGGAAAATCTTTTTAAAGTTGTCACGAGTTTCATACTGTTCAAAGAAGTCGATAAAATATATGAAATAGTTGATTGACATCGTTATCTTTTGGCGAAAAGTTTCTATTATCATTTGAAACAGTTTTTGTGGGGTGTTGTTCTTATTCACAAATGTGCGCATAATATTTAAACTTGTCATTTTTTCACAAATTTCTGGTGTTATTTTTTCAATCATTTCAGGAGGGCCTTCTATAATGTAATTTCTGATATAAATTGGTTTTAAAAGATAATCAAATGATATTGGTAAGAAGTTGCAGTTCAACGTGTCGGGGTGGAATAAATCGTAAAACTTTTCAATGTCTTGTGTTAAGGCAAACCATGGGTTCACTTTAAGAGAAGTCACTGCGGAATTGGCGCAATGGTTTACTTGAATAAAGGTATATACATCGGACAGTGTTGGGAGATATAGCGATACTTGCATTAAATATATCATTTCAAGGCGCGACATCTTTTTTTATTTGAAATTTACGAGTAACAAGTTTTTAAGTTTTAAAATAATGAGGTTTTGGGTTATTTAATAAATAGAACAATTTCGAAATCATTTTAAACAAAAACGTTAATTACAGTAGGAGGAAAAAGTGGGATGCTGAGAAAAAGGCGGATGCTAATCTAAATGGGACCTACATTGACCACCACCTTTACCAAAATAAAATATTTGCCGCGAGTGTTTTTTAAAGGGAATCCATTTTTCAGCCACTGTTTGTGCGTCCCCATGTCACCCACTTTCCTTGTCCGTACTGTGTGGACGCGGATGTGGTTCCCCCCGCAAGCGGGGGGGGGATCAGGGGTATCCGTGCCAAGGGAGGACTTGGAAAGTGGGTGAAACGGTGCACAAACAGACTGTTTGAGTGTGTCTTCAAAGCCTTCTTTTCAATGCTGGTCTCACTCGGTTTCTACTAACTCGTAGCGATTTTTCGGCATTTTTTGAATTCGGGAACCGGACCTAATATCTTCCCAGTTTCCTATTTACTATAATTTTAATTTGAATATGATTCGAAATAGAAAAAATAAATCTATTTTAAGAGGTGGTGGTGGTCAATGTAGGTCCCAATCTAAATATAAATTTATTTTGGTGTTTTTCATTTTATTAATTATTTGAATAATTATTAATATTAAAATTTATAGTAGTTATAAAAATAGTAATATAACTGGGATGCGGGTCTTAAATTAAAACTAAATATTTACTATATTTTATTTAAATGTTTTAACAAACTAATAAATGAAGTTGAAACTCAGAACTTTTATTATCAAATTGAACAACAATATCACCCGTTTGTGCTTTTAAAGAGATTATTTAAGTGTTGGGTCTATTTTATTTATTGAATATATATTCAATTATACATCCACATCAACTAACACATAGAACAGAAAAAGTGGTGGAAAATTATAGTACTTCATGAGAACGATATGAGTAAACGAATTCAATTGAAGCTTCGACAAACTTTTAAAATATTATTTGGAAGAGGAAGTATAGTTTTATAATTCAAGGTGATGTCCAAGCTTATTTCTTCAAATCATTACAAAGAAAATGTTTTCAATGTGAAAACTGTGTTGTGTGTTGACTACAGACTAAATGATTGTTTAAACTTGTTTTATTTCTAACTACTTTTTATTTAGCAATACAACTAATAGTTTTATATGACTGCTTATATTAATGCACATAATTATCTATTCGTTGTGTTTATGGTTATGATTGTATTGAAAATGAACATTAAACATATAACTTATAACATCTTGGTAGAGTTGTCATTCGTCAAGTCAACGATAATATTCATTTGAAAATTAACGAAGAAGAATTAATCAAAAATGAAAAATATGAATAGTCGATTATTCAACAAAAAAAAATGATGTGGTTTTTTTCTGTTATAAAAATAAAAATACAGTAAAATCAATCAAATCTTTAGAAGTATTAAGAATATTCATTTTTTGTACATGTTATTTTTTGTTTAAAAAATAACCAATAGTTGCGAGCATCCTCCTTTTTCTAGCATCCCCTTATTTCCTCCTACTGTAGTAAAAGAACATTTTTATTATAAAATTCAATTTTATTTTCAATTGTAACAATTCAGGCTATCCCAAAATAATCTATTGAGCTGAAAAATACAAAATTTAACACGTTGGAGCTTTTCAGTTTTATATGAAAAAAATAAAAAAGTTGATGTTTTATTTTTTTGCCGAGTGTAAAAAAATAAAAAAAGAGGAAAAACCTGTTTGAGCTTTTTTGTGGATTTTTATCATTGTGATTTTAGTAAAATTAATATTCAAATGATAACAAAAATCACTAAGATATTCGAATAATTGTTATTTTACACCATCTCCAAGTGTTTTATAATTTGTGGTAATTTGCTAAAACGAAGAACGTTTGTAATAAGCGTTTTTGTCGCCACTCGAAGTGACATTTCGTCAACTTGATTCACATAAATTCATAGAGTATTTATATTATAAATATACATGCTTTTAATTGTAGATATTAGTACGTCTGTTTTTTCTAACAAGATTAACTTTGACAATAGTCGCTAAAATTAAGTATCTTTATCATAACATTCAACGTTAAACATATTACTCAATTTGATATAAAATAGTTTAAAGACGAACTGTTTTTGTTTAAACCTTTAGTTTTTATAATCAAAGGCGTCTTTTCCATCAAGGACTCGATCAGATATTATCGTTTTGAATTTGGAGATTATTGAGTAAAATTGTTATTTAAAAAATTTTGTTTTGGTAGTTCGGCAAAATAGTATGTTGTGTTTCAATGAAAAAAAAATTCTGGGAAAAAAACACAAAATAAACTCCAACGTGTTAATATTTCAGAAAGGTGAATTATATTTTTTATTATGTGAATTTGTTTATTGCCAACCAAACGATGATGTTATTGAAAACAAATTCAAAATGGTAAACAACATTGATTTCTTAAATAGGTGACCTTTGAGATTATCACGATCCAAAAGATCTTAACACTTAAATGTCAAAAAAGACTTATTTTTGTCCACCTTTTTATATTTTTTTGTATAGAACTTAAAATAATCTTTTAATTTACAACATAATCTATATTTACTATGATCCAAAGATAAAAATAGTATTTATTTATATAATATTTATATATTATTTTAATAGTTGTAATAAAAAAAATTTCAATTATAAAAAATGTCAAGCCAAGACAATATAAAAATAAAAATATAGAAACTTGGAATTGCAGCAAATAATAAAATAGTTTTTGTGTAAAACTGTGAATTTTTTCCCGAAACATTTGATAAATAAATATGGAATAGAAAAGCATACAAGGTTGCTCACCCTATTCTAATACCAAAATAACATAATTATTATAATATTAAATTATTTAATTGTTCATATTTTAACTATACTTGCGTTTCGATTGTTTTTTTATGAAAATATGTTGTTTTCATAACACATTAATATGAGTTTTGTTTTTATAATATAAGATAAGAGGTTAAATAGTAACAAATTTTTTAGGAAATATAATTAAGATTAAAACTTAATTGAAATATTTCAATTAAATATGAAAAGAGTTGATGTCTTCTCAATGCAAATTGTTGCAAAATACTTTCAATTTATTACCGATTATCTATATATTATCCAAGTTTGCAAGAAATATAAGTTTCTTCTTGATCGTTTTCGTATCAACCCCATCCGAATAAGCCCAAAGTACAAACCGTTATTTACACACATTCAAACTCAAATTGTATTTACTCCATATGACATCATCGTCCCAGTTGATCGTCATATCTTTCTTTACTATGTTTCATATCAGGAGTACAAAGAAAAAAACACACAAACTGAAGTGTACAAAAACGTCCGCTATACAACAGAAGATATTGAAAAATATGGATCAAAAATACCAGAGGAAGTTTCACAACTTGGTAATTATCTTTAGTTCCAAAATTTGGACTTAAAGAGTGTCCAAATACCATCAAAAGTCACTGAAATTGGGGAGTGGACTTTTAATGATTGTGGTCTCACAACAATTGAAATTCTACCTACTGTTAAAGTGATTCGATATAATGCATTTGGATCGTGTGATGCATTAAAAGCAGTCAATTTACCAGAAAATATCACAATAATACCAAAATCATGTTTTGAAAATTGCACCGAACTTAAAAAGATCAACTTTCCTGAAAGTCTTCAATTTATTGGAAATTGTGCTTTTTTACAAGCAAAACTTGTCGATGTTGTTATACTAAATAAGTGTGAAATTGGTCACAGTTGTTTTGCAATGAACTCAAATTGACTCGAATTGTGTTAAATGGAGTTACATGTATTCCAGACTTTTCTGTGACTCTTGTTCCAGTCTCAAAAGAGTTGAAGTTTCTAAAAAGTTGATTGAAATTGGTGAATTTGCATTTGCACGATGTGAAAGTCTTGAGAACTTCAATTTCAATGAAGATTTGGAATTTGTAGGAAACTTTGCTTTTAAATATTGTAAACAACTCAAAATTGCACATTTGAAAAAAAATGTGTCATGTTGGTAAGTTTGCTTTTATGGGATGTAAAAAATTAGAAGAAATTGTTATTGAAAACAAAAATGCTTTTGTTGGTATTGACGTGATAGAAAAATGTGACAGGCTTACTAAAATATCAATACCATTTGGCACAAATAAGAGTGATTTGAAGTAACAAAAAATGAGTTAACAATATTAAAAAAATTGGACTTAAAAAGTGTTACACAAAGTGTCGATAAAATGTTTTACAGTGAAATTACTAAAGAAAATGATAATATGGACTTTTCAACCATTTCAAAAATCGGGTTGTACGAAAACCAATCAATTACCAACGTTGATTTAAACACTTCATTGGAGCAACTTGGTTTTAATCAAATTGTATTAAATTCACTCAAATCATTTTATTCCATCGACCGTTGCACTTGTTGATGATTATTGCATTGTGCGTTGTAATCATTTGAAAAATTTTGTTGTTCCAAAATATGCAACTTCAATATGCAAAAATGCAGTTTGCCAAGAGTTAATAACACGGATATTGTTTCCTAATAACACAACACATTTTGATTGCCAATTCTGATTGTTGGCAATTTAATGAATTTGAGATACCAAATGGTGTCAAAGAAGTTGAGGAAAACACGTTTTGTGAATGTTACAATTTAGAGAAGATAGTGATCCCTTCGACGGTGACAAAAATCAATGAAAATTTTGTGGTTAAATGCACCAAACTTTCTAAAATTGAAATACTTCGAAGTAATAACAATTTAAATTTATTGAACGTAGAAAAGGTGATTCTGAAAAATCAAAAAATATTACACCCTTTAGTATAAATTCCTGAGTATATAGACACGTTAGATTTTGGGACAAATTTTGCAGAAAATGTGACTCAAATCAATGTGCCAAATACTATCACTAAAATTGGGAACAATGCTTTTTCAGGAGTTATAAATTTGTGTGTGTTAACACTTCCAGACACTTTGAAATTCATTGGAAAACACATCTTTTCTCACAACATCAAATTAACAAAAATTGATATCGGCAACAACACACAAAATGATTTTGATAAGTTCGTCGTTAGTTATTGTTGCCACTTGAGACTTCTTAATTATAGGTATCATTTTAACAATATTGAATTGATTATTTCGGACATTGAAAATGTTGGCAACACTTTCGATGTGACTAAACTGCGAAAGTTTGCAACTACATCAGTATTAAATACTCAACTGTTTGATAATGTCCCACCATTAGTAACTGAATACTGTGATTTGTTGTTAAATGCAAAACACTTGATTATTCCAAATGAAGTCACTGATATGATTGAATATACTTGTGAAAATATGCCAATCCACACAGTCAATATTTTAAATGTCCCTGTGATAGCAGAAGGCGCGTTTTCTCAACGTCATTATTTAACACAAATTGTTCTAAATGAAACGTTGAAAAGTATTGAAAACAACGCATTTGAGTCGTGTTTATCATTGAAAGAAATAGTTCTTCCAAAAAGTCTTCAATACACAGGAAACAGGGCGTTCGAAAAGTGTTGTTCCCTCACAAAAGTGTCATGTGAAAATGATAATATTATTTATGGAACAAAGTGTTTTGCTTTTTGTGTTTCACTGAAAGAAGTTCCAGTTATAAAAAATATAAACGTTGCGATGTTCTTTGAGTGCAAATAACTTTCTCAAATTTCATTGAGTGAAAGTTGTAAAGAGATTTGTGATTTTGCGTTTTATCGATGTTTGTCACTCATAAAAATTGGTATCCCAAAAAGCGTCACAAAAATTGGAGTTTTTAGTTTTAGAAAGTGTGTCACATTGAGAGAAATTGAAATACCAAAAAGTGTAATTACCATCGAGGATGGTTCGTTTTATGACTGTAAAAACATTAAAAAAGTTTTTATAGATAATTCCAATGTTATATGTGGAGTTGATGTGTTTGAGGGTTGTGAAAAAATCACTACACTGCAAATTGGCAACGAAAAAGAAAAGTACCAATTTGAAGTGAGTTACTCTTTTTATTTACTAATGAAGAATATACACATCAGTTGTGAGAATGTAGTAGTGAAGAGAAGTGATGTTCTTAAATATAGCACTGCAAAAATGATTAATGAAATTCAAATGAACAAGTTAATTCACAGACTTGACGAAGGCTGCTTCTTCATGAATTCCGAGTTGACCAAAATTGAAGTTTTAAACAATGTGACAGAAATTGGAAATTTCGCATTTTACAACTGTCTGAATTTGAAAGAAGTTATCTTGCCAAAGAATATTGTCGAGATTTCACCTACTGTTTTGATGGATGTTCAAACTTGAGTTTTATAGAATTAAAAGGAAATATTGAAAAATATGGAATATGTTGCTTTAATCAGTGTTTTAATCTTAAAGGCAAAGTTGATATACCAGAAGAATACTTTGAATCTCAACAAGACGAAAATGATGAGGTCAATTAAACATATGAAATGCACAAATAAACTATTGAATTATAATCTCAAAGTGATTTTAGTTAATATAATTATTTTAAAAATATATAATTAAAACAGGGTCTATCACGTGACAAAAGTGTTTTTTCTTTGTTATTTGCCACGTCACCAAAGTGGTCTTGAATTTATGTTCATTTAGTTTTTTTAGATCTAGCGGCGAGCTTAAAGTTGACTTTTGTAAATGAAAAAACTTAGAAATAGATAGTTATTTGAATCAATACTTGGCCAAGTAATGGGAAAACAAACCAATTCAATTCTTAAATATCGGTTTATAAAAAATAAAGGCTGTGATTGCCTTTATTAACACAAAAATTGTGACAAATGCAGCACTGTTTTACACATCAACCCGATAGTTACAAATAACATTTTAATAACACAAATAATAATGAAATAACAATCTATTAAATAATTGTATTTTTATTAATAATATGTAATAAAATAAACCTATTCAACTTAAAAATAAAGCTAAAAAGTTAATACTAATAATTAAAACTGCTATAAAACAACTAAAAATAATAAATAAAGGTTAAATATCATATTTATATTTAACGTTACTAACTAAATATATATATTTTAAAACTATATTAAATAATAATAATACAAAAACAAAAACAAAAATATTTGTTAATTATTAAATATACTATATAACAAATAATATCAATTCTATTGTTTTAAACTATACAAATCGAAATAATGTATTAATAATTAATTAAATTGTTTAGTACATGATTTATATTTAAAAAAACCTAATAATAAACTTATAGTTCATATCATAACTTATTTTATTATTAATATATTATAAACCATACTAGTAACAATAACCATAATTAATTACAACACAATTTCAATTATAACACAATACAATAGCCATAACACTTGACTCGATCAATTCATAACAATAATACAATGTAATCATAGAAAGTGTAATGCTCAGAGACATAAGGCGATGTTCAAAGACATGACAACACACTCAAAGAAGAAATGTAATAATCAAAGACATAAGATAATACTCAAAAAACAGGACAAGCTACTCAAAGACAATAAAGATTATCAAATAAATAATGCAATAGTCAAAGACAAAGCAGATGATTCAGGGACTGTATAAGATGTTCATGAGTCGTAAGAGTGACAAGTATTTATCTAATTGTTAATTATAACTTATTTGATCTGATGAATATGTAACACAGTAAATAACATGGTGTTTTTATCGAGATAAATATTAAATTGATATATAATGATAAACACCAATTGGTCTATTAACAATAGTAATTACAACAATGATAGCAACGGAATTATAAAATAGATCAAAATGTTATGATAATAGATAATAGAACAAACATTTGGGCGTAATCATTAAAATTTTAAATTATTAAGTTCCAACATTTTAACAGTTAGGTTTTAACAAAAAACTATAGCAATAATATGTTAATTTATTATATCAACTTATTATAAAAAATAATATGTTTATTTTTAAAAAACTTAAATAGATAATATTTTATTGTTTATAGAGTCAGTCTTTAAACGTTATCTAATCTCAAACATAATGGACAAAAAATAGCTTTAATGTTGTCTATATACCAGGCATTGACGACATAATTGGGTCGGTGATTTAGTCTACAGCTTCTCCACATAGCATATAATCATTTCCAGTATGTTTAATCATCCAGTTCAATCTGTCTTTAACTACGCCTGCATGATTGTCGAATTCGTTGTTGAGCAATTCAGCCCAACTCATTAACATTGTGACAACTCCCCATAGTGGGCTTACTTCATCAGCTTCTTTTCTTTCATTATTCCACTTTGAGGAATAGAAGTATGAGTCTTGTGGATATCTTGCAATGCCGTATTCAAGTTTGGTGTTGAACTTTCTGATGTTGTCAATATGTTTTTTAATCTTTATTTGATCAGTTACGATGTCACTGACGCCATAGTTGCAGTCGATGTATCAATGATCACTTTTTGTTGTCCAAATGGCTTGGACGAAGTACCTTTTCTCTTTATTCCAGAACAATTTCTCAAATGAAGTTGATAGGTCCTGCGCTCTCTTTCTCAGTAATTCAGCTCTTTTAGTATCTTTGTAATACTTCTCTTCCATCATAGCAGCCGCCAACAATCCGTGATCGCCTTGAATTTGTGTGAATCCATAGTACTGCAGTTGGACACTTAAGGAAGTCCATGCATCGATGCTTTCCTCCCAAATCGAATAGTCTGGCTTAATAATATTCTTCCAATCTCGATACAACAAGAAATTAATCCAATTTTCTAATTCGTTGTTTGACTGTTTTGTCTTTAATTAATCCAGTTGTTTGTGTCATTTGTGTGTAGTAGTAATAAAAATACAAAACAACACAAATGGAATCACGCTGTGGCTCAACAAACCCCACTTTTGTCACATCTTACCAACTGTATCTCGTTGCGAAGAATCCACCGTTTTGGAGCTCTTGCAAGCCATTTCAAGAACTTTCTGTAACTACGAAACTCCATTTTCGTATTCAAAACATCAATTTTATCGAGGTGAATTGTAATAATTTCAAACAACAGTTTTATAAGTATTTTTGTTTTTTCATTTTGTTTTTGAAATATTTTAATAGTTTATAACATAAAACAATAAATATTATATTTTATTATAATTTAAAACGAGCCAGATTTTTTTCCACTGACTTGTTTTTATAGTACCTTTATATAATATTCTTTAACATTTTATTAATAAAATCAATAATTATAATTATAATTGTTAATTTAAATCAAATTAATTATGATCTATACTAAAACACACCAACAAACAAACTGACTGACAGTTTTTAAGTAAATAAATACTTATAAATATGGTAAATATATGATTCAATAATAGCTTTGATAAAATTTACAAAAAGACTAAACAATAGAATGAAAATAATTGAGGTTGTTTTGTTTCAAACACCCTGTTAATGCATCAATGATGAACAAAGTAGTTTCACTTGTTTATCTGCGATTTATAACTCTTCTGTTCTATCAAAGTATTGCACGTTTATAAAACAACCTAAATTTATCAACAACACCAAGTATCTTAATTCAAAGTTTTTTATAGTCCATTTTATGACATTTTTTATTAATTTGGTATATTTAACCACTATCTGGTGTTTGAAAGTGATGAAAAGCAACAATAAATAAAATTCAACAAGTAATCGCAAGGTGACAGCTCTGTTCTGGTTGATTTCACTTAAATATGTAAGAGGAAGTATGGTATATAACAAATTTTATTTTGATGAGTTAAATTATTATTTAATCGTTATTAAACAATTTCTAATATTTTATAATATTATCAATTATAATTAATAGTTTTGTTTTGTATAATATAAATATTATATTAATAAACCATTTATTTGTATACTATACATTTTAATATTTTATAGTTTTGTTGTTAACTGTTGTTTTAACATTAAAAAGGACTGCGGCAAAAAGTCACCATCTGTAAAGAAAAGGTTTTGGAGATCGTAAAAACAAACAATATAATGAATTTTACTAAAACTACTTTATTTTTGGCATAAAAACAAATAAAATATACCCCTTTTCGTTTTAAAATGCATTTTTGGGACAAGTTCCAAATTTTTCCCTGTTCTGTGATAGACCCTGATTAAAATTAAATTTTAAATATCATTGATTATCTCAAACTAATAATAACTGAAATAAATTACCAAAAAATAATAATAATAATTAATGAATATATTTAATTGTCAAAAAGATATATTTTTGTCCGCCTTTTTGATTTCTTTATAGAACTTAAAATAATTATTTAATTTACAGTTGACCAAGTGATTATCATAGAACAAATAATTGTAGGGTGTATTTCCCATTGATTATATTTGAAATAACGGGTTAAGAAATTGAAAAAAGTACAAAAATAATAAGAAACTTAAATCTATTTTTATAATAGTTCTCAAAAGTATTAACTCAATAATCAGTATTAACTTAACACACCCATTTTTTCTATTAATAGAGTAATATAAAATAAAAATATTTTATTGAATAAAAATAATAATTTGTGTTAAATAAAGTTTCAATTGGTATTATTAAGTTAATATTGCCATTAAAAACAAAAAATAACACATTTAAATTACAATCGCTTTTCAAACTTAAACAAGTGGCTTTTTCAATTATTCACATGACAAAGTTATCAACACTGTTAAACCTATATATATAAACAATAAAAAACAATGATATTAATACAAATGTAATTGTTGAATGTAATTTCTAGTTGAAATGATTGTTAATAACATTGTTATTCATAAATATTGATTGCAACTTACATACAATTCGTGTGACATTTTGTTGAAACAAAGAATAATCAAATATACACAATTATTATTAATTTGGTTGTGTAACTACTTCGATATCCATAATTAATATTAAACTACTATTTGTTGATAACCACAGATAAGCGAAATATTATTTACAATTATTTTTTTTAAACTTTCGTTTTATTGTTTTTCATATTACAACACACAACAGTAAACACATGTATTTTATTAACACAACAACATTAATGATATATTTGAATAGAGGCACCTATTTAATAATAATTTTCAATAATTTAATAACAACAGTTGGTGTATATTGTTATACTGTTTATTGCTACACTTTTCATTTGAAAAACAGCCTAAAATTAAAAAGTGGTAACTTTTTAGTGTGTAAACATGTAAAATCAAACTAAAACACTAAAATTAAGAGAATATCATAATTTACAACCATTTTAGGTTCCGACTTGTGGCTCGTGTGTATGTGCACATAAGATATTATAATCAATTTCCTGTAGTTTAATGGTTAAAAGGGATATAACCAATATTTTAAGTTTTGATAAATTCACGTTTATTTATTTGTATAAAATATATTTTAAAAATATCACGATGTATTTTTAACAATTGTTTGACAACGGTTTTTGTTTAAAAGGGGGATATTTCAATTATATAAACATTTTTAAATCATTTCACTTGTGTCAAATAATTTCAAATTTTTTGACATCAATGACATTTGATTTTTTATCATTTGTAGTTGTTATTATAAAGTCAATATTACATTACTTATTTTTGATTTCTCAACATCATTATTTATTATAAATACACATAGTTTAATCATGTTTATTTAACTTTTTTTATTTCTGAACAAATTGATGTAATTTGGTGTTTTTATAACATTTTTTATTATTTCAATCGTTATAATATTTTATTCAAGACTTTTTTATCACCTTTAAGTTATGTCTTGACAACAATCGTTTTACATCCGTATTTATTATTTCATTTGATTGTTATTATGGGCGTTACACATCAAGTATACTCTTTGTTAAAACAGTTTTGTTTTATCGATTATTTTGTTTATTATATTTCACGTTTTCATTTTCAAATTAATAAATTTGGTTAAAAGAAAAAACAAATGGTCAACATAAAAATAAAATGAAAAAAATCTATTTTTTATGGTTAACCTTAAAATGGTTGTTGAGTTAACACTTCTTAAATATGTTTATATTTAACACAACTCATATAATGAAAATATATAAATGTTGTCATTTTGCATATTATTCGTTGCTATTTTTAAACACCACCACTTTTCAACAAAATACACTTTATGAAATTTGTTGATTGCAATATTCACTACAAAACATGCATTACTATACAGATGTGGGCGTAAAGTATATATATCATTGTTTGACAAGTTGTGCTTTTTTATCAGTTATAAATTGTTAACTTTTTATTCTTTGTTTCATTTACAACTGTTTTAATTTATGCGTCATTCAATTTAAATTCTTATGAATATTTTTTTTCTGAGACAAATAGTAAAACTAAATAATAAACAATATGCTTTTGTATTGTTATAAAATACACATATAAACTACTCAAACACTTTTGTTTAAAACACATGTTGTAGTTTAACTTTAATCATGCTTTACGGAAAACAAATTATAACTGTATTGTTATCACTTGTGTATTTGGATGATTGCGTTCATTTTTCATAAATATAAAAAATGTGTAATGTTTAGTTAAATGTATTAACGTGTTAAATTCAATTAAACAATTTGAATCAATATTAATTGAATCAAAGAAATATAATGATAATACATTTACACCAAAACCATTTTGTTAAAACAAATAAGTTTATATGAACAATTAACATAATTCGAATCGAAACAAAAATAAAGTTGTAAATGAATAAAAAATTAAAGATAACTATTGCTATTTTTTTAAATATGTTATTTTTGTTCATTTATGTATTATAATAAGTTATCATTGACAACGAATTGTAGAAAACACGCCTTAAGTTTTAAGTTGTTTATTTAAGGTAAACAATATTTCACATTCTAAATTCATTAAAAGTTTAATCTTATAATTTCTCCATTTTAGCTTATTTCAACTTTTCCACTTTCAAATTCCAAATTTGAAATTTCGATTTCCATATTTTTTAATAGATTTATTGTGAATAAGAAGCATCATCTTTCAACTGAACTTCCATTCTTTTTTGGCCGGAAATACGTTTTTAAACGGCTGAAAGCCGATTCACACAAAGTAAAAGTTAAGTTCATTGAAAGATATAGAAATAAAACTTCTTGTAAAAGTGGATATTCTGAAGTTATAAACATTCTATAATCATATAAATCGAGATGTTTATTATCTTCTTCTTTTTTATTCAATATCGACTGCCTAATAGTTTTAATATCATTGTTTTCATTATAAAGATTTACTTCACATTCAAACATTTTCATCCAATTCTGCACTCCATATTTCTCTGTTATGAAATCGTCAAATAAGTTCCAGCAGTAGACGTCAGTATCAACCATTAATTCATTTTGCAGTGCTAAACTTTTTTCTTCAAATTTACAGTATTTGAACTCATTTTCTGTGAAACGTATTTGCAATTTACTGTTCCACATATCGACCCAAACCTCAATTTTAAATTTTTAAAAATGCATTCAAAAATTGACTTCAACTTTTTGATATTTTCTTCTGTGCAACCCGGAGCATTTTCACTGAATAGATGAGATGATAGAGACAGGAAAGAAGAAAATACACACCCTTCAAGTTCTGCGTTCATTTTAACCAAATTGTCATTTAATTTTCTGACTTTAAGCAGTTCTCTTGGAAGAAAACGCTTTTTGTATTGTAAACACGTCAGTGTTTGTTTGAACAGACACAACACGTCGCGAATTACCCCTACAATAAAAATGAAATCCGATGACTCTAAAATCTGTAAACACTCATCAATTGAGTATCCTGGTATGTATTCGATACATTCATTGTCAATATGTTTCTGCATTTTTTCGGTATTATTACTTAGTTCCTTTTGTTCTTTTGCAATGATTTTTTCTTTGTTTCTAGATCCTTTTTAATTTTATGTTCTTGTTATTGTTGAAGGTATTTTATAATGTTGACTCTCAATTTATACACTGAAGCGAAAGTTGCCCATGTTGATACCCACCGAGTTGCACAATAACCTTTGACTCCCTCTAAACTATATTT